GTCTATAATACATATGTTTATTTATGTATATGTGTGTATATGTACATATATATATATATATATCTCAGTAATTAATACCTCTTGGTTTAACCTACAAGATACTTTTAGAGATATACTTTTAGTAGTCACGTGATTGGTCAGTTTCTCCAAGCCCATGTCAAGAGAGTTAATAGTCTGATCCCCGTTTAGTCGAATATAATGAAAATTGTTACTGGAATTTCTGTACCATACAAGAATTCATTGATATACCAAATGGTAGGTTTTATACCATTACTGATGTGTGGGTCTGGGTGACTTGAATTTTAATGGCCTAAGTAGAATATAGCAATTGTACATCATTGTATTACATTTTAAGCTGTGACTTATGCATGAAATCTTTAGTTGAGGTTGTCAAGTTTTAAAAAGTATTGTAAAAGAAAGTAATATTGCTTAAACAATTTTTTAATGAGAGAATTTTCATCTGTATGTTAAAAAATCTTATATTTACATAGCTTTTCTGTAACTGAAAATATAAAGTATGTTTTTTTCATCATTCTAATAGCACAAATTAAATATTCAAGTCAAATGTGAACATAAAAACATTTCTGCCATTCCTGATCAGTTAAGGCAGATTTAAATCATTCCTTTTCAAAAACTTTTACGCTCTTCTTAAATGCAGTATATTTCATAAAATGAACACTAAACATTAAAAGATTTCCTGGCTAAACTCATTAGATACCTGTCAAAGAAAAAACTGTTTGTAAGTTCAAAAATTATTTTATGTACCTTGAACACTACTCTGATGCTCATTGTCCAATGATACATGTAACTGATACTGTGTACTATGGTAGTAATATTTTGCCATTTATGTACAGTAAGTTTGTTTGGGTTTGCTTCTACAATTTAAGTGAACAAACACACAGCTCTGCATAAAGTGCACACAGATTAAGCTGTGGGTTCTAGTTATTTAGGAAGGTTAAGATAAGCAAATATGTAAAACTCATACAGTGGACAAATGTTTGTGCTTTTGTAAAAGGTGTTAATACTGATTGTGTTTAATCATAATGAAGATGAAAGGTCATGGTAAACATGTTTTTGAATTTGAAATACTTTCTGCTCATGTGTTGTTGAACTTGCCTATTTATTGAAACATTTGGACAAGTTCAGTATTTACTGTATCCATTACTTGCTTTTAAAGGTCAAAGTAACTGTGAGATAACTTGTTAAAATCATGGAAGAGTCAAAGATATATATATATATTGCTAAGGCTGTTTAAGTTAAAGGTCTTAGGTATTAATTTTTTTTTTAATGCATGTATTAAATTATTTTTTTACTACAGAAACTTAAAGCTATGTGATTTTTAATTCTGGAAACTGTTTACAGGAGTTTTAACAGGCAGACAAGATTCAGAGGTAATAGAACAACCACTTGTTTCAAACTCAGATGTTCGTAGTACACCTATCCAGCCCATGGGTCCCGAGTTGGTTGGAGGTCCTTCAGCTGGGTTATCGTACATACCATTACCAGGAACTCCACAGACTCCCCATGTCCCAGAAGAATCATTTGTTCCAGTCTTAGGAGCTCCACAGCTTCCTCCAGTTTCAGAAAGGACAGGTCTTCAAGGACAACCAGCAACAATTCTTTCACCAACTGGAAACTATAGTGAAATAAATACTATACCAGATGTGACAGTCAGACCTCCTCCTTTGTCTTCTCCAAGTCAACCAAGCAACATAGTCTATCAACAAGGAGGAATGTTGTATCACCATCCAGCTAACTCAGTAGCAGCACCAGTAAGTCATTACATATTAAGTGTTATGACAACTAGATTATCACATTAATTAGGTAAAGTAAGTAATACAGTGGTTTTGAGCAGTCTAAGCTGAATTTTATAGCAACTTGACTTATCCAGCTTGAAAATTCAAGGCCAAACTTGAAATCCTTGTAACCAAGTCAAACAGTAAACTGAATGAAATTGTGGATGTTTTGTGATGCAAAAGAACTCTAACACAAGTTGTTAAATTTTTAAAATTTATATATTTCTTCATAAATCTTTATTGTTATACAAAAACTTATATTGTCATAGAACACTTTATTTATCTGCATTCACTAATACTGTAAATAACTTGATGATTTAGAAGATGTACTGTAAAGATTTAAACTGTGAATTTCATGTTGTGATACCATATGTAGTAGGTTACTAACGTAAGTAATTGTTACATAATATTTTATTTGTCATAACAGTACTAGAAATAACCATAACTTTAGTATACCAGTGTGCTGCCAAATCATATTCTTGTAACAATGCATTTGTGTAATGTGAATAAGATAACATAAACATTCAATGTTCTAAAAGAAGAATGTAATCTTTTCTTCATTTTTTTAGGGTAGATTTATATGTTGCACTTACTTATTCAGTGTCATTACCTTTTTTTTAATCATCCTCTTTTTCTTCTTAATGTGAGAATGAAACATACCATTTGCAACAGCATGAAAGGATATAATGTCGCATATTACCATATGTCTTGTGATCACTGCATATTAAAGATTTCTTTAAGTGTTTTAGTGCTAATGTAATACGTCATTCATAAGTTGGGCAAATTTATTATACAACTTTTTCAAAATGTCAACATTTCTATTTTTTTGGTGAATTTACATGTGACCGCTTAATCTTTGTGTTGGTGTTTATTTTGTACTTAAATGATTTGTATAGAAATCATATAATTCAAAATGTGAAATACATAGGATCGGAAGTCAGTAACATCCTGTCTATATAAAATTTGTCATAATGAGTGTTTGTTTTTAAAATAGAATGACTAATTTTGTTAAGGACACTGATGAAAGTTAGGGCTTTCTTTCATACTTGGTATGGTTTACTTTGTTTGCAGAACAATGTGAACAACAAAATTCATTAAACAAATGAATTGAACTAAGGCCGTTTGAAATTAATCCAATTTGAATACTGCCTTAAGCCAACATATAATCCTCAAGGAGGGTTGGATAAAATATACTTCTAAGAGTACAATTAAAACATTTTAGAAAAGCTGTGATTCTGGATTTTTAACATTTCTGTTAGGTGTACTTGAGAAATGATTAATTTATATTTGTTTAAGTATCTATGCAACAACTAGAGAATAGAGTTGGACAAATGTAGAGTATGTGTCTTAACAACAGCTGTAGGATTTATTGTTGCAGGCTACTTGTTATGTTTAACAGAATTTATAAAAATAAAATTGGTAAAAGTTGGCAAGTAAATTTTGATTGACATAAATCTTTTGAAGTTAAATATTTTAAATAAATTACAAATAGAATACTTCTTGTATATAAGTTAAAGTTGAATAACAGTTTAATATTTTTAGCTAGGCATAACAGTCAGTTTAGTCTACTTAGGAAACATCAGTAATATTTATAATGTTGATTATTAATTAGATTATATTAGACAGATAACAACTAATCTCTGAAACTAAAATAAATATATATTAATAGCATGTGCTGCAATAACTGTTATGTAAATATTTGAAAATAAAGTATTGTAGTAACATATACTACAATGAATAATATCTAAAATTAGCATACGGTAGTTATGTGTACTGCAATAACTAATATGTAAAACTTGTGTGTTGTAGTGACACGTACTGTAAAGACTATTATCTAAAACTAGCATGTCATGTAAAAACTGATATATAAAACTAATTTAGTGAGATGTACTGTGATATTAATATTTGAAACTGAGGTGTTGTATTGACAGGTACTGCAACAGCTAATATCCAGAACTTAATGTTTCATAGTAACATGTGCTATAACGTATCCAAAATGACTATCTAGTGGTGACATTATTTATTTTAATATGCTAATATTACATACCTTACTTTCATGTAGTGTATATTTCTTTCATTTTTTAATTATTTAAGTTCTGGATGGAACTAATTAAATCACTTTTTAAGGCATATGCTAAATTCAGCCTGAGGTGTCACAGTTTGGAATTTTTCTAACCGGTTAATCATCATGCTTGAACTGTTTCATAAATGATTAGTCTGTGAAGTTTAAGAACTATCATTGTTATGTTATGGAGCTGATATAGATCACAGGATTAATTAAACTCATATTTTCTTTGTGTTAAGATTTTATTATTCACTCATACATTAAAATGCAAATGGATTGTTAAATCACTCCTCTATTTCAAAACAAAATTTATGAAATAATTCAGATGAGATGACATATTAAGGTTACTGCTTTGACTCATATGTTTAGAATTAGACAGTAAGTAAATTCTCACAAATGCTGTGTTTAGGTATTTCCTTGTGTGCCGTAAGGCATCTTAAGTTCAAAAGTTCTAAACATTCTTAACCACTATTTGCCACACACAGTATGGCCAAACGAGTGGACTTTGATTATAGTTGAATTTCGATGCATGACACATGCAGTGGTGTAAAACAAAAAAAGCAACAGCTTCTAATAGTGGTTAGAAAATTTTTTAACTTGTTAGGGCCTCAAATCAAACTGTAACTGGTAATCTAAACAATCCTAACACCTGTCTATAACATATCAAGTCAAGGAATTTGTCCACTGTTTCACAGCTACTTGTATCCTACTTTACCTTGTGTATAGATGACAGCTTTGTGACTGTCACATGGAACAGTGATATTTCCAGATTCTTTTAATCCAGTTTTCTGAATTGCCATGTACAGAGCAAAGGTGCTTTTTGATTACAGTTTTGGTACTGTAAAACCAAAGGCTGAATTTGTTTCTGCATTAAAGGAGCCTGAATGTGTTGTGGAAGGTCTTGCCTTTGCTTAATCGTATACTTCCGTGTGATGATTGTGCAGTGTATACTTTTTATTTTATTCTGACTTAACACATTGTTTTGCCTCTTTTAGTATACCTGCAATAAGTTATTGCTCTATTTCTTCCACACATTAAATTTGTGCAGAGATCCAGTGACAGTGTGCTAGGGCAGACTATGAATTACAACACCATAGTAACTTACATCTGAAAGTACTGCATTGTATTACTAAACTGTAAAATGTATTTCTGAACTTAAACTTTGTTAGTCACATGTACTGTTGTAAATAACATCTGAAAATAATGTATTGTGTGGCATATACTATTATAACTAGTATCTGAAGAAAATTTGTAATAGTAACATGCAGGGCTGTTAAGATGGGCCCCAGGATAAATTTGAAGAGCAGACCCCCCAACATGATATGGCTGTCTCCTTGTCATTATGGTGATCATTTCGAAGACTAGCCTGTTTGATCTTAGTCTTTCAACTATCTCTTAATCTCAGTTTAAATTGTTAGTTAAGTTAGTTCTTGAAAAGTTTTTTTGGTGTACAAAACTTGAAGATAGCTTTTATATGCGGAAATATCTGTTAGCTAAGTTCTTGCACAGATCTTAAACATAACGTTGATAAACGGAAACATCGGCACATGTAGATATGTAAATCTTGAAAGTCGAGATAGTGTTGATAACTGGACCAAATGTTGGTTGAGATGTTGCAAAGGAAATATCTGCTGAAGCTTTTTGCCAGACACTAATCATAGCAGAACCATCTGGAAAATTATGTATAGGAAATAGTACATCTTATAAAATGCTGGTAAGGTAATCACTGATTGGCATGTCCTTAAGCCAATCAGGAAATGTCACAGACCTACTAAAGGATGTGTAGATTGTATAGGAATTCTTTTTTGGTGGCAAAGGACAGGTTTATGTGTTTTGATAAAGGTGGCTTCCAAAATATAGAGATGAAAGATTGACAGACCATTTGAAATAATTTTAAACCTGCTATCCGTGTATTTGTCATCACAAGTCGGGTTCACTAGTAAATGCTGGCCAGTCGCTGATTCACATTTTGGTGGTAGAACTTTTGTTTTACAGGAGCGACATGGTAAATAAGAGTGTGAAAGAAAAGTTCATAAAAACCATTGACTCATTTTCTGTCAAGCACAATCAGAGAAACTTTAAAATATCCAAAGAAATCACTTGTGAAACAAAAAACACAATTTACCTTATACAGTGTAAAAAATGAAATTACCAATATGTAGGACATACACAAACAACTCTAAGAGAACGTTTCAACAACCATAAATCTTCTATTAATGCCGAAAAAGATCTCGCTGTTGCTCAACACTTCAACCAACCCGATCATTCCATTAACAATGTTGCTCTCATCAGCATTGAAACAGGATTCAAAACTAAAGCAGATAGAGAAATAAAACAAGCTTATTGGATTGCTAATCTAAACTCTGTTCAACCTTTTGGAATTAATCTGGACCCTGGAATCAGTGATCTCTGTTCATTGGTTTCATCTCTGTCAAAAAAATAATTTGTATTCTTTGCATATTTTTCTCATGTAATGTGAATGCTGAATTTCCTAAAACGTACTATTTATTTAAGATAATTTTACATACCTGTTTTTATAAATTAATTAGTGTTTCATATCTTTTTCAATCAGTCTCCAGTTGTCACCTTTATTTTACTTAAACACTTAATTATAGATTTAAATATACATATATTTAGCCATTTGTAAAGTAAAATATCCCTAACAACTTTTCACATACACTCTTGCCATCGGCTGCATTCTACCAGAAATGAGATGCTAACAACAGTACAAAGAGAAATAGACTAAACATTTCCTGGAAAACTGGATGACCTTCGAGATGTCACTAAACTCATTCAATAACACCACCTTTTCCTGTTTGCCCCTGAAGATGAAAGGTCCACCTTTCAAAGCCACTCTGATTATAGGGTTTTTATTCATTTCTATCAAGACTTCTTGAACCTATGTATTTATCTAACATCATGAATTCAAAGATAAAAATACTTTTGTTCATCTTGCTGTTTTTATATTTCATGTGTAAAATCTCTAGAACCTGTTAAATGAATATCAAAAGTTCTTTGGGGCAAAACTTTATTCTTTATCTTTTTTTCTCAACATTAGCAATAACTGGAGCAAAATCATCCATACTTAAAGTTGAAAAATATGAAATAAAATCAAATATACATTTTGTTTTTCTAGAATGATTGCAGATAGTAACAGATAATTACAGTTATTTATCACAATCAGCTACAGGCTTGTAACAGTTTTCCATCTGTTTTCTTGTTCTTTAAACTATGTCTTACTAATATAGCAAAGTGATAGATCACCTGGTGAGAGGTTACTACAAATTAAGGTACACAAAGCATTGAGTTACATCAAACACTGGTAGCCTACTTGCATTCCTTTAGAAGTTTTTTATTTAATGTTTTTTTCACTTACGTTTTCTTGTATAACCTAATATGTTTCTAGTTTTTACATTTTAATTACTTTAATTGAAAGTATATACCAATAAATAAATAAAAATTATACTCAAAAACCAAGAAATTTAACACTTTCTTAAACCCTGAGGCCTTTCGTAGGTGGAAGTGTGGTTTAGTAAGACTTTTTTTCTCACTATGTTGGATCCAAATATAATTCATGTAGCCTTCAAATATAAATTTAGAACATAATAGATTAGAATATCTCAAAACTGCTATAATTTATCTGGTTTTCTAACTAACATATAAATAGGTTTAAAAATTTCATTACTTACTGGAGCTACTGCTTTAGTCCAAACATATAAGTCTCTTATGACTAATTATATTTTTAATCACTAAAACAAAACTGACAGTTTGTTGATTTAGATGGTGTACAATTTGCTCTTTCTATCAGTTTTTGACAAGTCCAATAGTAATCTCAAGAAGAATTATAAACTTTTCTTAAGAGGCAGAGGATGTGGAAGGGGGCATGTCAATGTGGGTTGAACAAATATAATGATATCTCAGTAAAGCTAGAAGAAAAAGAGGTTGAAATATTATATTCTGGCTTGTAAATATCTATAGTAAGTGGTTCAAGAATCTAAAGTTCTTGTAAGGGAAGAGAAATAATCTATGAACAAGAAATCAGTGCTATTAAGTCATGACTCTTAGAAGTGCATATTCAGGAATTATTCAAATATTTCATTTTGGACAATATTCAAATTGTATCATAAAGTACATTTTTATGTCAAATTTATTGACATACATTGATAATAAGGTAGTTTAAGTTATGAATGTAACTCTAGTAAAAAAAAAAGTTGTGACATGCACTTTGACCTACCTGAATTTAAAGGGTTAATGTCAGGAAAACAATCAACTAATTGGATTTATTGTTTCTCATTATTCCAAGTATCCAGTAATCCAAATATTGCGATTATGATTTTTCATTATTGTTTTCAATCAATTCCAGTTTGTTCAGCTTTATTGATGAGTGTCACAACTCACAAAAATAATCAACTAATCAGAATTAGGGTTTTTATGTTATTATTGTTTTTTAATTATTACAATTATCCCAGTAATCAAAATATTAAAAATCATTATGTTGGATTGATGTTAAGCACAAAGCTGCACAAGGGCTATTTGTGCTCTGCTCATCATGGATATCAAACTTGATTTCTGGCATTATAAGTTGTTTTTTTTTAATCCCTTTTATGAGAATCACTCAGCTCTTTAGCAGAAACATTTACTGTAAATTCAACATATGAAGAAAATGTATGATTGTGACTTATACTGTTATAAC